TAGGAATGGGGAAAAAATAAGAACTAAGATGCATTATGTAAAGGTACAAGTTCCCAATGAGAAATGTAAATGTGTTGCATACCTAAAATGTACCAATAAAAGAATTTAAGTAAAAAAAAAAAATCACACAGGTGAGGAGTCTTCTCTTTACAAGGTGGTAGAGATTAACATAGTTGCAGACTTACACAGGTGCAGAGCATCCTGTTTGCAAGGCAGTAAAGATAACATAGTTCCAAACTCACATGAGAAGAGGTGGTCTGTCATGCATTAACTGAGGGGATTCCCAAGGGGGAAGGGGAAGGCGACTACCCAGAATTACTGGACTTTACACAAATAGAGTCAGGTTGGCTATCACTGTGGGTTTTAGCTTTTTTTTTTTCCTATTTGGTGAAGGTTATTCATTGAACATATGGGTATTTCTTATATGTCACCAACAACTGTGTAATGCTGTGGGTCCTCAATAGTAAGACAGATTCAACAGCCTGGCGGGTAGCGCAAGAATGTAATCCCTGTAATTACATGACTGTAATCCTAGTGGCAGCGAGTTTGAGGCCAGTCTGGACTACATGGGCTACAAGACCCCTGTCTCCAAAAAAGTAACACAAACTCGAGCTCTGTCATAGAGCCTATAGTCCAGTAGGAGCGACAGATTACAAATATAAAGCACTTGCTCTGTCAGGAATGAACCCAACTGATTAAGATAAAGAATAAAGTGAGGGGAGGGGTATCTAGTTAGGGTGATCAGGGACAACTTCCCCGAGAAAGTGACATCTGAGCCGACACTTAACCAATGAGAAAGACGCTAGGCCTCAAAAATGGGATTACATTCACCGTAAATGAGTTAAAAATAAGTCCCAACCTTCCCTGCCGCCAGGTTGTACGTGTGGGCTAATAAGCTTCGCTGCCAGCTCTAAAAATGGCGGGCGAGGGAGGGGCGAGAGCGCGTCGTGATTGGTCAGCCCAGGGCCAACGAACGTTACGCGGCGGCGGTAGAGCATCCGGGCTCCTGGCGGCGGCGCTGCGGAGGCTCGTGGGAGACTCGGCGCGCGGGAGACTCGGCGCGCGGGGCCAGCGGGCTGCCGAACTGTCAGTGGCGGTTCGCGTCCCGAGCACCGCGCGTCCCGAGCATGGCGGGCTCCCTGCCTCCCTGCGTGGTGGACTGTGGCACCGGGTAAGAGCCCAGCGGCACCTACCCTTGCTCTCCGCGTCCTAGAGTTCCCCCTCGCCTGGAGCTTCGCTATGCTCACCGGCGCCGGGGTCTCCTGGGGAGGTGGGGCGTGGGGTTTGCTCTCCTGCACTGTGTCTGCCGCTTCCCTCCAAGCTTCACCTTGATGGTGTGAAGTCCCCCTTCCCCTGTCGAGAGGAAGAAAAACCGAGGGGGAGGAACGAGGTGCCCGGTCTAAGTGTACCCCAGTTATCGCCTGTTCTGTCCCGTGGCCTGGCGCGCGGAGTGGGGTTTACCTGGGACCCTCAGCTCGCGCTGCCCCGCCGCGAGGACGGTTCCCTACCGGGGACCCGGGACCCGGGACCCGTGGGACCTCCCCTTGCTGGATGCTGCTTCTGGGGCACAGCTCGCTGTGTGTCCTTTCAGTGCCATGTACCTGCTAGTTAAAGTCTCCCTGCCTGTGACATTCTTATCACAGGTCCTCATTTTGTGCTCTCACGTGGCATTTCTCTCGGCTGATGATTCTTTACCACCTACTCCTGGAGATATTTGCGCTCCTTTACCAGCTTGACAGCATTTTTACTGCCCACTCTGCGCTTTTCCAGCCCGAAATGGCACACTCAGACCAAGCTTTTGATTTTAGTCGGCATAGATTTTTGCCTTTTTCTCTTAAAAATGATGTTTAAAAGTCTCCATTTTGAAAAACAGCTTCAATTTGGGAAAGCTTTTTCTTTTTGGGTGCGATCACTTTTGATGTTGATGTATTCAAGAGACCTGAGGAAATGTCCTGTACTTTTCACTGGCCCAGGCTTAGCTGGTTTTAGAAAGGTAATTGCTATATCCACTTAGCTGGGAGTTTGGGAATACTGCACAAGCTTAACCTCTTGCTTTGTGAATGTAGTGCATAGTAAAATAGTCTGGAAGTAAATTTAGCCCTTTAAATGTTTTTCAAGAAGGGCGTTTCATCATTTTGCCATAAAATATTCCATGGCATGTTCGTCTTACTCCGTGCTTCTTTTCTGTAGAAAAATGCAGTTGGTTTGGTTTCCTTGGCAACCTTGTGGGGGTGTCTTCTAATTTGCCACAGCCCATCCCCTACTGATGATTTTTTACCTTACTGCTGAGGGACCAGTGCTAGTTGCGGGCTGGGAAACACTGCCAGTTTGCTTGGGCTGATGCACATGGTGCCAGAAGCTTTGTGGCTTTTTATTTTAGCAGTCACTTTGCTACCCCAGCTTAGTATTGATATTGCAACCCTCCAGTTTTTGGCTCCCTTCCACATCCCCTCCCCTACAATCCCACGTTCACTTCCCCTCCCCCAGGTCTGGTTGTGTTAAGAGTGAAGGCACTTTGTGAGGGTATGTCTCATTTGCATGTGAGTTTTGCTTTTGCATTTTTGGTCTTGGCAAAACTATTAAAGTAGAAAGTATCTCTTAATGATAGCAGTAGGATAATGCTTTTGGAGTTTGTCAGAGCTTTAATATTAGTCACCTGGGGATGTTACTCATCATTCTTCCTGTAAATATCTGAAATGTGCTTAGTTTTGACCTTTTGAGGTTGGTGATTAATGTGATTGCTTACAGGGAAACTCAGCTTCAGTAGATCATTGCTTGTGGGCCAGTGTTGCACTTCAGGGCTTCAGGCTGGCATAGATTCTGGTGTCCAGACTTGGAAACTGGTGGGGAATCTTCTCAGGGTTTCACACTGACAAGATTCTGCTGTGGAAGCCACTGTGCTTATCTTGAATCTCCAGTTCCAGGTGTGTGGTCAGATGGAGCAGCCTGGAAGAGCTAACTGTTCCCACCTTCACATTTAGTAATTCTTTTATTTCCCAGGGAGCTAAAGTGGTTTTTGGATTGAGTTTTACCTCAAAGTAGAACAAAAAGTGGTAAAACTGCCAGGTGTGGTGGCACATGCCTCTGTAATCCCAGCACTTGGGAGGCTGAGGCAGAAGGATTGCTGCAAGTTTGGGTCAGCCTGGGCTACATGGTGAGTTCAAGGCCAGCCTGGACTGCATAGCAAGACTCTGTCTACCCCCTCCCTGCAAAAAGTGGTAAAACGAAGATAAAAATAACCAGGGATAAGGAAAAGAATGGTCAAAGTCATCCTGAACTTGAGACTAGCAGTTGCCATAGTTTGTCCTTGCTTTTGGGTTTAGTCTGCCTATCTGATGGTATGGAAAAAGAATCACTGTTTTCTAATTCCTGTCATAAAGAAGAGAAATTCTTGTTTTACAGGTGAAAAAGCCTTTTGTAGTAATAAATTCTAAAAGAAATCTTCACATTGAGGAAAACTTGGTGGGTACTAGTGGTTTAGTACTCGTGGTTTAGTAGATGATGTACTGAACAGGTGTTTTGGTGGTATGGAAATTGAATGCTAGACAAGGATTTTATCACTCACTGATCTATACCCTGGGATCAGTTTTTGATTTATTTATTTTATTTTTATTTTTTTTCTTT